CGCATGTCGATTTTCGCAAAAAAACAAAACAAAACAAAACAAAAAACGCCTAGAGCAAAATTCGTGCACATGCAAAGATTTGCTGACCAAATCTTTTAGTCGACCAGAAAGAGGCCGCTCAGCCAGCGCCGCCAACAAATTATTTCCGTTGGCTGGCGCCTTGTCAACGAGCAATCCATCGACAGCCAAGGCTCGGCACAACTCATTAGTCTCATGAGCCAAGCGACTTCATTTCGTCGACCAGCGCCTCGCCGGCTTTTGTTGCGCCTATTTAAAAGGTTTCTTCAACGTCGACACATTAATCTCATGAGCCAAGTGATTCATCGCACTTCAATAAAACTCCCTTGAAGTCGGCGTCGATCACGAACGCAGCCGGCTGCACACCTTTGCGCACCGGACAGCGAAGTCGACTTCGCCCAAGTAAGGGTGGGGCCTTTTCTCGTCAGCAATCATAGCATGCCATGCCATCCCATGGTTCATGGCGCATATACCTACGGAGATACATATGCATACACGCATGTGATCCCATTACATCATACTGATCCATGTGACACTGGTGACTCTGCCTTGACACGCCTCAGGCCAGATTATCTTCAATAGCCCTGCCCCATCCTCAAATGCCCCTCCTCCCACACCTCTTCTCTCACACCCCTCCTCTCACACCCCTCCTCCCACACCCCTGATCCTGCAACCCCCTTTGACAACCCACTTGCTCCCACCAACCCCCTCACCCCACACACTCCTCACCCCAACACACCCCTCACCCCGCACACCCCTCCTCTCACAGCTCCCTCCTCTTACACCCCCTTCCTCCACCACCCCCCACCCCCCTCCTCCCACACCAACCTCTTCCCCACACCGTCCTCTCACACCCCCATAAGCCCACCCACCCCTCCGCTCACACCCCTCTCGACACACCCCTTCCACACCCTGCAGACCGCACCCCATCTCATTGGACTTCCTCCCGCTCACTTCTCGCTCATTCCCCCTGCCCACTACACTCCCAACTTCCTCATACTCCCCGCGGATTGATTTGCAAAGGGAGATGGGGGGCAAATGATAGATTGCTTTATGGCCATCAGACGAACCGGGACTGCTGTGTGTGTGCATGGAGAATGTGATCAATACAAACATGGCTGATGTAGAAGCATGGCTGTACAGTGTATACATTTTCGCTTGTACATGATTATGTACTCTAATAAATGGCACCATTTTCGCAGATAAAGAAGGAATTCACACTAAGATCCTAGCCGACTCACCTCCTCGCTTCACCAACACCTTCGTTCCATATCTTATCCTCATCATCAACGGATTCTGCATCAGCAACGCATGATCCGCATCAGCAACGCATAATCCGCATCCTATCCGTGCGCCATCCACGTCGTATCAACAGCTCTTCCACGTTTTATTAGCATCCACGCGTCATAGTGGCTTGACCACGTCTTATCGGCGGCGGCATAGCATCCATACACGTGTTGCACGGTTGACATACCGGCCGGCACCAGCATGCATTTAGCCATGTGAGGGGCAAGGAAGGAAGGAAGGCATGGTGCAGCACTAGAGGCGGAGGTCCCAGGAGGTGACGGCTTCAAGCCTTCCTCCCTCTGCCTCCCTTGCTCCTCACTCGAGTCACGCCCCTGTTGCTGCTGCACCTTGCACTGAACCATGCAAGGTCAGCCACGGAGCGGCGCTACAGGTGGAGGTTCAAGGAGGTGACGGCCTCTGAGCCCTCCTCCCCCGGCCTCCAGTGCTCCAGAGTCGAGCCACACCTCTGCTGCTGCCACACCTCTGCTGCTGCCACACCTCTGCTGCTGCCACATCTGCTCATCCATCTGCTGCCCTGCCTGTTCACCCACTTGCTACTCTGCCTGCTTCTGCTCGGTAATTCGTAGCTGCTGCCCCAGATTCTGTCCCAACCGTTTCCTCAATTGCTGCTCCAACTGCTGCCACAGCTCTTGCTGCTGCCGGCTTTGCTGTGTTTGCCGGGTTGACTGCTGAGTCACACCCGGGGGCAGCTCAGAAGCGCCTGACGGCTGTTGTGGTGGCCTTGCCACGGGCTGCTGTGTGTCCAACTGCTGACCAAGATGCTGCCCCAACTGCTGCGCCAACTTCTGCCCTAATTGCTGCACCAACTGCTGCTCTAGCTGCTGCGATAACGCTTGCTGCGGCCGGGCTGGTTGGGTATTCTGAGGTGACTGCTGAGTCACACCTTGAGCCAAGTCAATAGCCTCTGACGGCTGCTGTGGTGGTCCTGCCACGTGCTGCCTCGCCTGCTACTAACCCGCCTGGGTCTCTAACTGCTGACCCAGATGCTGACCCAACTGGTCCTGCAGCTGTTGAACCAACTTCTGCCCTAAATCGTGCCCCAAATGCTTCTCCAGGTACCGCCATAGCTCTTGCTGCTGCTGCTGCTGCTGCTGGGATACCTGTGTCGGCTGAGTTGACTGCTGAGTCTCGTCGTGAGAAAAATCAGAAGCACCTGACAGCTGCTGTGGTTGTCCTGCCACGTGCTGCTTTGCCTGCTGCTGAACTGCCTGTGCCTCTACCTGCTGACCGTGATGCTGCCCCAACTGATCCTGCAGCTGTTGCACCAACTTCTGCCCTAACTTCCGCCCCAAATGCTGCTCTAAGTACCGCCATAGCTCTTGCTGCTGCTGTTGCTGATGATGCGGCTGCTGCTGCTGCTGGGTTAGCTGGGATGGCTGGGTTGCTCGCTGAGTAACACTGTGAGACAACTCAGAGGCGCCTGACAGCTGCTGTGGTGGTCTTGCCACGTGCTGCCTTGCCTGCTGACCTGCCTGGGTTTCTAGTTGCTTCCGTACCAACAATTGCTGGCATGGCTGTGATTGCTGTTGCTGCTGTGATTGCTGTTGCAGCTGCGATTGCTGTTGCTGCTGCGATTGCTGTTGCAGCTGCGATAGCTGTTGCTTCTGCGATTGCTGTTGCTGCTGCAATTGCTGTTGCTGCTGCGATTTCTGTTGCTGCTGCAGGTGATTCTCTGGCGTTCCCTGTTGAAGAATATGTGTAGCTGACTTCTCCTGCATTGTCTGCGTTGGCTGCATTGACTGCATTGACTGCATCATCTGCGTTAGCTGCGTTAATTGCATTGACTGAGTTGACTGCATTGTCTGTGTTGGCTGCGTTGACTGCATCAATTGCCGCTGATGCTGGGCTGCTGCTGCCGGGGACTGCGAGGGGGTTGTCGCTGCAGCAGGAGAGAGACCAGTAAAAGTGGCATAAGCAGCAGAATCATTAGCAGCAGTAGCAGCAGCAGCAGCAGCAGCAGCAGAATCACTGGCAGTGGCAGCAGCAGGAGTGGAAGCAGGAGCAGCAGCACTAGCAGCAGAAACAGGAAAAGCTGTGACAGCAGATGAGGCAGCAAGGGTGGGTGCAGCAGGGGGGAAATGAGAAGCGGGAGAGGGTGAGAGCGGAAGGGAGGGGGAAGGAGTGGTGGGTGCGGCGTTGGCCAGCAGGGCTCGTATGCTGTCAATCACACAGGCTACTCTTAGCAGAATGGCCACTGGGAGGGCGACACCTGGTAGTGCTGCTGCTGGTGCTACAGCGGGGGTTGTGGCAGGTCTTTGCAGTGGTGCTACAGCCGGGGGTGCAGTGGGTGTTTGCAGTGGTGAAGGGGTTGTGGCAGGTGTTAGCAGTGGTGGCACAGCAGGGGGTGTAGGAGTTAACGGCGAGGCATGTTGGCGAGCTGGTGGGGTGAGGTGCTGCGGTGAGACGGTGTTGGCATGGCTAGCAGACGCACAGACAGTACCAGCAGCTGCAGAGGCCGCAGCAGATGCAGCAGCAGGAGCAGCAGCAGAGGCAGCAGCAGGAACAGGGGCATCAGTTTCTGGAGCTGGCATGGCTGCAGCAATGGATCCTGGAAAATGGGAAGAAGCAGGGATGGCAGGGCGAGCAGGATTGGAGGTGGAGAATGCCGTGTGATTTGGGGCTGTGTGGAGGAGAGGGGAGAGGCTGAGAGGAGGCTGAGGAGGAAGATGGGAAGTGGTACACGGAAGAGAGGAGGAGAGGGCATGTGGCACGGCTGGGAGGCGAGGAGGGGGAGGAGGAGGGGGGGCGGGAAGGAGGAGGGAGACAGAGGTCAGGGGCAGAGGAAGGAGAGGCAGCAGCAGCAGAAGCGGCAACAGCAGCAGCCGCAACAGCGATTATGGCAGAAGCAGAGAGGGAACCGAGCAGAGAAGGTGGCACCACAGCAGCGGGGGAGGCAGATGATTTTATGAGAGAAGATGAGTGGTTGGCGGGCGGGTGGCTGGTGCGAGGGTGGTTGGAGGGCGGGTGGTTGGCAGGAGAGTTGTTGGCGGGAGGGTGGGTGACGGGTTGGTGGGTGGCGGAAGGATGGTTGGAAGAAGGGTGGTTGGCTTGGGAGACAGAGGCTGGATCAACAGCGGGAGGGTGGGACCCGGGAAGGTGGGACGCGGGAAGGTGGGACCCGGGAAGGTGGGACGCGGGAAGGTGGGACCCGGGAAGGTGGGACCCGGGAAGGTGGGACCCGGGAAGGTGGGACCCGGGAAGGTGGGCAGCAAGAGGGTGGGACGCAGGAGGTAGGGGTGCAGGGGGTTGGGGCATGGGGGGTTGGGGCGGGGGTGGTTGCGGGGAGAGGAGGGTGTGCAGAGGGGAGGTGGTGGAGAAGCACGAGTGGAGGCGTTGCCATGGCGTGCCATGGGCTGCTGCACTGCCCCTCATCCTCGCACTGCCGCTCCCTTCCGCACTGGCCCCCATTCCCACTTGCGCACTGGCCCCCATTCCCACTTGCGCACTGGCCCCCATTCCCACTTGCGCACTGCCCCCCATTCCCACTTGCGCACTGGCCCCCATTCCCACACTGCCTTGCAATCCCACGCTGCCTCTTATTCTTGCGGACGGTCTTGATGCATAAAAAAATGTGTCTACCTCCTGTGGTTGCTGCTCCATTGCTCCTGTTGCTACTGATTCTGGTTCTGGGGCTGTTTTTGTTGTTGGTGTTGCTGTTGCTCTTGCTGCTCCTGTTAATAACCCACCCCCTCCTCCTCCTCCTCCTCCTCCTCCTCCTCCTCCTCCTCCTCCTCCTCCTCCTCCTCCTCCTCCTCCTCCTCCTCCTCCTCCTCCTCCTCCTCCTCCTCCTTCTCTTCCTCTTCCTCTTCCTCTTCCTCCTCCTCCTCCTCCTCCTCCTCCTCCTCCCCCTCCTCCTCCTCCTCCTCCTCCTCCTCCTCCTCCTCCTCCTCCTCCTCCTCCTCCTCCTCCTCCTCCTCCTCCTCCTCCTCCTCCTCCTCCTCCTCCTCCTCCTCCTCCTCCTCCTCTTCCTCCTCCTCCTCCTCGTGTTTCTGCAGCCTCCACGAATCCTGCTGTTGCTGCTGCTCCTGCTGCTCCTGCGGTGCTTGCAGCACCTGCTGCGCCCGCCCCTGATCCTGCAGCACCGCCTGCTGCTGCAACGTTTGCAAGCCGGGGAGTGCAGCGCAAAGAAGGGGACCACGCCAATTGCTGCGCAGGTGGCCTTTGAGCCGACTCAAGACTCTGCACGGATTGCTGCGCAGGTGGCCTTTGAGCCAACTCAAGACTCTGCACGGATTGCTGCGCAGGTGGCCTTTGAGCCGACTCAAGACTCTGCACGGATTGCTGCGCAGGGGACCCACTGCCTGCAGCAGACATCTCAGGGAGGCGAGCATTGGTGGCAACAGCGCCACTGCTGGCAAAGGCAACACTGCTGGTGAAAGCGCCAGTGCTGGCGAAAGTGGCGCTGCTGGCGAAAGTGGCACTGCTGGCGAAAGTGGCGCTGCTGGCGAAAGTGGCACTGCTGGCGAAAGTGGCGCTGCTGGCGAAAGTGGCGCTGCTGGCAGGTAAGGAACCGAGGGGAAGTGCAGGCTCAGGCTCGATCTTGACGCCCGATGCTAATTTCTGTCTGCCTCTTCCGATTTGTCTTCCTCCTTGAACGCCACGTGTCACACAATCTGCCACATCAGCACCTTCTCCTGTTTGCACGGCATTCTCTTCAGAAGCAACAGGTGCAGCTGCAGCAGTACCAGAGCCACCAGCATGAAAATTATCACGACCAGCAGCACCAGCAGCAGGAACAGTAGCAGCACCAGCAGCAGGAACAGTAGCAGGCGCAGAAACAGGAACAGGAGCAGGATCAGCAGCAGCCGCAGGAGCAGACACAGGAGCAGGAGAAAGAGAAGCATTTGGAGCATGAGATGTAGCAGCATCAACATCATGGTCGTCCCAATCACACAGGCGAAGGGGGGTAGCTGACCTGTTCGCACTCCCACCCACACTGATATTCGCGTCATGCTGCTGCTGCTGCTGCTGCTGCTGCTGCTGCTGCATGTTGGAACAATCTGCGCACACATCCCTGACAGCACCCCTCGCAGCAACCGTGCCAGCACTGCTCCCAGAGGCGCAGTGCCCACAGGTTAGCACTCGACCCACAATTTGGCGCTCAACTCCTGGGTACTCTCCTGCTCTGCTCGTTTCACCTGCCCTGCTCTTTCCATCTGGAAATTCCCCTCCATCGGAACCGCTATCATGGAGTCTGTTATGTGTCATGTATTTGCCAGCAAGTCCGTTTGTTTCACCCGAGGGACTATTGCTGGAGACGAAAAGTGGCAGGGATTGCCTGGAATGACCAGATGAGGTTTCACCCCTGTAGACACGCTGCCTCGCCTGCTCCGTTTGTCTGCTCTGCTCCATTTGTCTGCTCTGCTCCATTTGTCTTGTCTGCTCCATTTGTCTTGTCTGCTCCATTTGTCCTGTCTGCTCCGTTTGTCTGCTCTGTTCCACCTGCAGGTGCATCAGCCGCCCTTCGTCTCGCAGAGGCAGGAGGACCACAGGGTCCGACTCAAGTGGACGGAGGAGGTCTATCGGAAAATTCGAGGGCCTGTCTCCCGGAAGCGACCTTATCCGCCGTGCCACCCCACTCGCTTGGCGGTCTCCAGGTGTCTCCTGTGGATCGGAGTGGGCTTTCCCGTCAGAGCGGATGATAGTAGTGGTTCCACCCTCGGAAAGCCGGCGCAATAAAGCTGCAGATCCTGACGGTTCACCTGAAAGGGCACCTGAAGCTGCACCTGAGAGAGTGCCTGAGAGCGCGACTGAGACGGTACCTGAACGGTCACCCGAAGGAGCAACTGAAGGAGCGCTTGGAGGAGCACCTGAGGGAGCACCTGACAGAGAAACTGAAGGAACGCCTAAAGAAACATCTGAGAGAGCACCTGACGGAGCACCTGACGGAGCACCTGACAGAGCACCTGGAGGAACACCGTGAGCCCACGCATGAGAAGGTATCCGAGCAAGCTGGGTATGGCTGGGGCTTAACGACATCATGGCATCACGTGCCTCCTGGGAGGTAGAAAGGCGTGAGAGCATGCATGGCTCGTTTGCAAGAGCATTCAAAATGGCATCACGTGCGGCAGTGAGCTGGGATCCCACTGAAGGCTGCAATCTGGAGGGCAGATCCTGGAAGGCGCCAGAAGAACCTGTGACCTGCAACGGCAATGCGGCCGAGTCGGCTAAAGCCCGTGAGCCCGTTGGTGGGGTTGTAGCTCTGGATTCCGCAGGAGCATTTGGACAAGATTCGGGGGGAAATGGCGCGCTCATCACAGGTGAAGTGAAACGAGGGTGAGGGCGAGGGTTGGTCTGGGCCCGTTTAACCGCCACTGGTCCTGATTCCTCTTCTGCCGCTGCTGCTCTTGCTAAGCCTACTCCTGCTGCTGATGCTGTTCCTGCTGCTGCTCCTGCTACTGCTCCTGGTGCTCCTGCTACTGCTCCTGCTACTCCTGCTACTACTCCTGCAGCTCCTGCTCCCGAACAAATTCTCCCAGGATTCAAAAGGGAAGCTGCTCCAAGCGTTGGAGATTGGACCGAACATTGCAGAGCGGGTGCCGCGGTGGTGGAGATCTCAGGGGAGCGCCGTTTTCTGCTAGGGTTGGCTTGGATACTGCGGCTGCTGTGAGGGGTAGTAATTCCGGCAGACTGCACTGCAGAGCGCGGGAGTAGTAGCTCCTCCACGGGTGGCTGAACAGACAGAGGCTGCTGGCTTGCTGAGGAACTTGAGCCATGGATTGGGGGCCTGTAGTGCGGCCCTTGGGCGATCATGCAAGCGGCGGCTGCAGCAGCCACGGCAGCGGCAGCGGTAGCGGTAGTAGTGGTTGTGACAGCGGTAGTGGCACCGGCAGTGGCAGCGGCAGCAGTAGCAGCGGTGATGGCAGCGGCAGTGGCAGTGGCAGAGGCAGAGGCAGCGTCAGTGGGAGGGGGGGACGACGATGACGATGGGCTGTGAGCGCCAGTGGGAGGCGGGTGATTGTGCTTGTTCTTGGCTGTCAGGCGCCTTGCTCGCATCTCAACCCTCCGCACTCTGCAACCGTTGCTGTTGTCTGCAGCAGCTATGCTGCTGGTGCTGATGCTACCGATGCTGCGTTGGATTGGAACCTTATCCACGACCAGCTTGGCTGGGCATCCGAGCGTGTCTTTTGCTGCGCACGCGTAGTAGAATCTGCATGACACAAAACGATTGAAAACAAAGAAAAATGTTTAAGGGAAACGCAGACACACACAGACACAGCCACAGAATCATACACATACAGACACAGACCGACAGACAAAGACACGCACAGACACAGACACAGAGACAATGACACACACAGACACGCACAGACAGACACAGAGACAATGGCACACACAGACACGCAGAGACAATGACACAAACAGACACGTACAAACACAGACACAGACACAGACACAGACACACACACACACACACACACACACACACACACACACACACACACACACACACACACACACACACACACACACACACACACACACACACACACACACACACACACACACACACACACACACACACACACACACACACACACACACACACACACACACACACACACACACACACACACACACACACACACACACACACACACACACACACACACACACACACACACACACACACACACACACACACACACACACACACACACACACACACACACACACACACACACACACACACACACACACACACACACACACACACACACACACACACACACACACACACACACACACACACACACACACACACACACACACACACACACACACACACACACACACACACACACACACACACACACACACACACACACACACACACACACACACACACACACACACACACACACACACACACACACACACACACACACACACACACACACACACACACACACACACACACACACACACACACACACACACACACACACACACACACACACACACACACACACACACACACACACACACACACACACACACACACACACACACACACACACACACACACACACACACACACACACACACACACACACACACACACACACACACACACACACACACACACACACACACACACACACACACACACACACACACACACACACACACACACACACACACACACACACACACACACACACACACACACACACACACACACACACACACACACACACACACACACACACACACACACACACACACACACACACACACACACACACACACACACACACACACACACACACACACACACACACACACACACACACACACACACACACACACACACACACACACACACACACACACACACACACACACACACACACACACACACACACACACACACACACACACACACACACACACACACACACACACACACACACACACACACACACACACACACACACACACACACACAAAACAAGTAATGAAAAACAGAATAAAGACGGATTCTTGGCCTTCCTGTGTACTTTAATCTCGGAGTATAAGGCTCAAAATTGACCCAATAAACAGCCACGAGGAAACTCTTCAAGCAATAGACATGAAACACACTGTGAAAGCGAATGTTCGCTAGGCGGAAAAGACAGACTGACGATATAAAATAGAACAGCAGCGGTCGCTTCTCCAAGCAGGATGTTTTGACTCAAACTCGGAGTTAGCGTGGGATTTGATCATCGAATAAATACGATATCAATAAATAAATGGACCGTTGGTACGATGTTATGAGTAAAAAGCGGTCTGTTCTTCACAGACTTGGGGCCCCAAATGCGCGAGAAATGTTACTCGCGTTATTTGAAAAAGAGAAGAATCTAAACAGGTAAATTGCAATAGTAAACTCCACTAACCGTTTGCCTTCTTGATGAGACGAGAGGACTTTGTGCCCATATTTTATCCACTTGTAAGCTGTGATAGGCACGTCATCCGTCGGCATTTCCAATTTGAACGGAAATGCAAATGAGCTAACAAAGGCTTGGATTCGTTTGAAAAGTATCTAGCCGCAAACGTCGAATCGGAGGTCCAGAATTCGTGCAGGCCTCGAGGAGACACGAGAGAGCGGAGCCACGCATTGACACACAAACAATTTGGTGGGAAGTCCTGAATTGGATCACGAACGACTCCAAATGGAGTGCATGAAGTCTCGCCATCTGAGCCAGATGTGGACTGTAAACGGATAACAAGGACGATTTGAATAAATGGAGGGTAGAGTTCAGCCTGTCCTGTGAACAAACAGTAAGGGAAATGGTTGGCAAGAACGAGCCAATAGAGAACAAAACCTATGCCAACCAGGACGGATGGAAGTGAATTGCGAGGGGATGGACCGAGGCGGAGAAGGCTGGCAGCAGTTCAATGTGTGGGTCTTTGGGGTTTCGGAAAGCTTCTGCCCGACAACGATACCAAGCATTTGGAGGAAACGGAATGTGCCGTCGTGAAGTTCTACGGCAAATTTGCGCGACGCGCCAGCGCGCGAACTTCTCTCAATCCCATCAACCAGCCTCGCACCGCAGGTAGGGCGACCAAACCCCTCGCAAATGAGTCGATATACATGTGCTTACGTGATATTTACAACCAAGTTAATGTGATAGAATTGGTGGTCTTCCTAACTGTCACTGTCTCGCGCGGGAAAATGTTTGCCAGGTGGTGTTCGTTTTTTCGTAAAAAACAAGGTCGCAATTGCGGCTACATTGCCGTGACCTTACAAGGTTATTTTGTCTGTTCACGAAGGCGCAAAAATGTTTCGTGTGCGTGTCAGATTTTTTGTCTACATGTTTTTTTGCGCGTGTCAAACGCGATTTTCTGAAACATCAACGGAGCTCTGAATCTAAGCAGGGGCTGGAAAAAAAAAAAACACTAGAGGCAGGAACGCAATTTGGGAGGCATCAACCCTAAACACGGGAAGCATGGTGTTTAGGGTTAATGCTTTGAATGTGGTGGAATTCGGGAGGAATCAACCCTAAACACGGGAACTTTCAAGGTGTTTAGGGCTGATGCATTGAAAGTGTGCCTGGCTCCCTACGGAATTTAGTTCGTTTTACACCGTAAAAAAAACCGGACCAAACAAAAACAGCATAAGACAAGCCTTGTCTGCGCGACCAGACTGAAGTGACGTAACACGTCGCAAAATTTGTCTTTTCTCAAAGGATCGAAACCCAGGCTGCAATCCCGCAATTCTGGCCGTAAAACCAAACGGGACCTGTAACGTCGAAATGAACTCATTCGCAGCACAAAAATAACGTGCAAACGCATGTAAATCGATCCATTTGGACGAGGTTCGGTCGCCCTACCTGCGGTGCGATTTTGGTCAATAGGATTAAAAAACGTTCGTGCGCTGACGCGTGCGCAATCTCGCCAAAATCTACTCTAGAATGAGAGATAAGGACGTGGGCCCAATCTTCTTTGATCAGCGCGATCAGAGGCTGTATGAAACTTCGAGGAAGGCGGGAAGCCAATTTCAGGCAATCGGGGGCAATCAGCTGATCGCGCTAACTCGATCAACTTTCTCAAACAGCCCGATCGGACCCGATCAGACACAATCAGCCCCGATCACTTGATTGCATGTGATCAGGGACCTGGGCGATGTACGCGAAATGTAACACATCTCGCCATGAATTCTCGAAAATCTTTGCAAATACATACAGATCGGCGAGAACTATATGCCATAGCCATCGTTTTGCCACCCAATCAAAATTCAGTTCGAGGTGCTTCTATTCCTCAACCCGCGGAATCTGTACTCCAGTTCGAGGTACTATGTTGGCGACATAACCACGATACTGTGATTCGCCAGTCTCGCCAAAGTTGGGATGCAGCTACCAGGTAATGGGCCGACAGCTTTCATGCAAGAGCGCGAGTCGAGGAAAATCATCTCTGATCGGGCGGTGCGAGAAAAAACGATCATAAGCAATCCGATCCGACCCAACCCGATCCGATATGAGCCGATCAAAGTCGATTGGGCCCACGTCCTTAGGCCCCAACTCTAGTATATTGCACATTGTTGTGGTAATGTCGCCAACATCGCCCGCACCGCACAAGGTCCGCTCCAGTTAGAGGGCTATGGCATACAGTTCTCGCCGAACTGGGTGTATTCGCAAGGATTTTCGAGACTTCATGGCGATGCGTGTTACTTTTGCGTACATCGCCCAGGTTGCCGATCGCATGCAATCAAGTGATTGGGGCTGATTGTGTCTGATCGGGTCTGATTGGGCTGGTTGAGGCAGTTGATTGAGTTGGCGCGATCAGCTGATCACGATCAGCTGATTGCCCTCGATTGCCTGAAATCTGCTACCCGCCTTCCTCTAAGTTTTTGATCGCCTCTGATCGTGCCGATCAAAGTAGGTTGGGCCCACGTCCTAAGAGTGTCTCTTGCCAAACATGTGATTCTTTTCTCCTTTTCTGGAAAAACATACACGCGAAGTCGGGATCGCATCAGCACCAGATTGAAACAAAACTTGGCGGTCTGTTACACATTTTTCAACACTACCCAAGAACCCTCGCTCCTTGGCACTTACTGCTCCACACGATGTTTGCAGTGGCGTGATTTTGTTGGATGGGGTGCTTGAAAAAACAATTTGTACGTTTTTGGGGTGCATTAATTTGAGTTCATCCTGCCACTGAGTCGTGAAAATAAGACTGGAACAAGTATTTTCGGGGCTGGGTGTGAATCTGACAGTAGAGTAGGACTGCTAAGCACTTCGTTTTGTGAACCGCCTCAGCGCCACTGAAGTCGGAAGATCTACGATTGGACCATTCGGAAGTGACATCATATTGTCACCCTTTTTTTTCACTTGTTTTCCCTTGTAACTGATTTTGAGCGCTGTCGGGAGCTTGACGCAACAAAGAAGTGGCTAGGCAGCAGTATTTCACGCGTCTGGGGGGAGCACACTCGGGAAATGCTGTCATACAATGAAATGGTGGCAACAGCTGAAACACATGCTGACATCAGGTAGAACGTCTTGGAAATTCCAAGGGGAATCCCCAACCATCTTAGGGTCTGATCCATCCACGTGGTTTTCAGGATGTGGTCCTACCCAACCAGCCCATGCCAGCCCATGTACAGAACCAGCCAGCCCATGTATTGTACAGAACCAGCCAGCCCATGTATTTTACAGAACCAGCCAGCCCATTTATTTTACAGAACGATAAAGACCATGTGCACAGCGGAGAACGTTTTCCACATACAGTAACAGCTCGTTTATAGTGTACAAGCACGGGCAACCTATGCCTGCGAACACTATTGAAGTACAGTAGCCCTTCATTAAGACTGTATTTCCTTTCAAGCCGAAATTGGTCTCTCACATGCCCACTTGGACACATTCGGTATTTTATCATCCACTTTCCTGCATTCTATTCACTGACAGCTTTGAATATACACATTAGTGCTTTTTTGCCGTTTGTTTATCACAGCACCATAACGGCTGCAGGTTTTTGAGCATTCTCAAACACGAGGCACCTCACTTCACATGCGAGTGCACTTATTGGCGATAGCAGCTGCCAGGAAAGGGGGGCTGGGAGCGCGCGTGGGCATTGTCAACTGGAGCAGCCTCTATGCCACGGGATGTGAGCAGGCAGCGGAACATATGCAGGCGTGTGTGCGCTTGTGAGAGATGTGAGTCCATGTATGCCTTTGGGGACCAGAGCCGCTCTGTGTGTGGAGGGGAAGGAAGAGAGAGGCAGAGAGGGAGGAACGGAGGGATGAGAGCTGGCAGCGGAACATGTGCAGACGCGTGTGCGCTTGAGAGAGATGCGAGTCCACGTATGCCCTTGGGGACCAGAGCCGCTCTGTGTAGGACGGGGAGAAGGAGTTGGGAGAAAGTACGAGCAGGCAGGAAAACATCATCTCACCAGCACCACCAAACTTTGCGCTTGAAGCCACAACAGCATGCCCATCTCACCAGCAGCATGCCCATCTCACCAGCAGCATGCCATCTCACCAGCAGCATGCCATCTCACCAGCAGCAGCATCAGCAGCAGCATCAGCAGCAGCGGCAGCGCGCGGCCACACAGTGTTGAGCAGATCAGACGGGTCCACCCTCTCCTCCCACATGCACGTCTCAAGGGTTGGGTTGACCCACAACCAGAATCATCACCCCTCCGGCAGCAGCGGCAGCTGCAGCACCACAATCATCTCACCTGCAGCAGCAGCAGCGCGCGGCCACACAGTGTTGAGCAGATCAGACGGGTCGACCCGCTCCCCCCACATGCACGTCTCGCCGCCCACCACCAGGTGCTGCAGCGCCTCTGGCACCCCTGCTGTTGGCTCCTGAGAATACACCTGAGTGCAACAGAGCAGAACATGGGCGGGGAGAAAGACAGGATGGTCACGTCCGGTGGTTGAAGTTAAAGTACCAGTCACATTGGCTTCTCTCCTCATGCTCGCCTGTTGAATCACGCTGACTCCCATTGACTTGCGTTGACTCACCTCGCTCCACGTATGGTCAATGAAGTCAAGGTACCAGCCACAACTGATACTGCTCCTGTCTACATGTTCTCCCATGCACTCCTGCTGACCCCCATTGACTCATGTTGACTTGCATTGACTCGCCTCGCTCCAGCTGCGGTCAATAAGGTCAAGGTACAAGCTGCGCTCGTTCTTGTCTCCAATCGACTCCCATTCACTCCCATTCACTCCCATTCACTCCCATTCACTCCCACTGACTCCCATTCACTCCCATTCACTCCCATTCACTCCCATACCCTCACGTTGACTTGCATTGACTCACCTCGCTCCACGTGCGGTCAACAAAGTCAAGGTACCAGCCGAGATTGAGATTGCTGAAGATCATGCGGAATCCAGACTGCACAATTGCGGGCGGCAGAGCCGTGTCAAACCTGCCAGGAGGGGAAGGGAAAAGGGGAGGGATGGGGAGAAGTTGGGGAGAGGATGGGGAGAAGTTGGGGAGAGGATGGGGAAGAAGTCACGCCCCCCATCCGCCCCTCCTTGCACCGCCCACCCACCAGTTGTGCACGACGGTGGTGGCAACACCAGACATGCAGACTCACACCCCCCATCCGTCCCTCGGGTCCAGCACCCACCCACCAGTTGTGCATGATGGTGGTGGCAACACCAGACATGCAGACTCACACCCCCCATCCGTCCCTCGGGCCCAGCACCCACCCACCAGTTGTGCATGATGGTGGTGGCAACACCAGACATGCAGACTCACACCCCCCATCCGTCCCTCGGGCCCAGCACCCACCCACCAGTTGTGCATGATGGTGGTGGCAACACCAGACATGCAGACTCACACCCCCCATCCGTCCCTCGGGCCCATCACCCACCCACCAGTTGTGCATGTTAAGAGAGGCGAGATCCAGTTTTTGAGTCGACTCAAAAGTCACCTCGTTACAATGGCACACGACAGTTGTGCATGTTAAGAGAGGCGAGATCCAGTTTTTGAGTCGACTCAAAAGTCACCTCGTTACAATGGCACACGACAGTTGTGCATGTTAAGAGAGGCGAGATCCAGTTTTTGAGTCGACTCAAAAGTCACTTCGTTACAATGGCACACGACAGTTGTGCATGATAAGAGAGGCGAGATCCAGTTTTTTTTGCAAAAAACGGCAAACACCCATCCAAGCTCGCTTCCATCCCTCACCCACCAGTTCTGCACGATGGTGGTGGCTGGATCCAGGTCTGCTCCAAACACCTTGAATGGCTCCTCCCTGCCCACACGAGGCGAGAGTGTGTGGGAAGAGCATGTGGGGAGAGAGAGAGGAGAAGGAGGATGCACGATGTGGTGGCTGGGTCCAGGTCTGCTCCAAACACCTTGAACGGCTCCTCCCTGCCTCCATGCAGGGAGATTTTGTGGGGAGAGTGTGTGGGGAGAGTGCGTGGGGAGAGTGTGTGGGGAGAGTGCGTTGAGAGAATGTGTGGTGAGAGCACGTGGTGAGAGCACGTAGTGAGAGCAACTTATCCAAAATTTCCTGGCAGCTAGAATGGCACCACAAGGAGCAGACATACTGAATCCAGCTGATGTACAAGCATGTGTCAAGAGTTATTCTTGCACATTCTGTCCTAAGATTGAAAGCAATCGCTATGGAGTCTGTATTGTTTGGGGCGATGATTTATATTGGCAACGGACGTAATCTTATGGCGGTGGGAAGAGGTGCTAGTGCGAGGAGAATGGCGGAGACGAGGTGAGAGGAACCGACTCGCATGATGCGGAAAGACGGAGGGTAGAAGGATATGGGACAAGTGTGGGGAAAGAGAGAAAAAGGTGTGTTTTGAGGCGCCTCAAAACAATCCTCAATGCAGACGGAGGGTAGAAGGATATGGGACAAGTGTGGGGGAAGAGAGGACAAGTGTGGGGGAAGAGAGGACAAGTGTGGGGGAAGAGAGGACAAGTGTGGGGGAAGAGAGGACAAGGGTGGGGGAAGAGAGAGAGGTGGCGTGGCACGCACCACACGACAGTGGTCTGCCATCCAGCCTCCACGGCCAGTGCCTGCACGCGCCTCACAAAGTAACCATAGCCTCCCTCTGCTGTCAGCTTGCGCTGCTGCAGCCTGGTGGAGAGGAGGAAGGGGAGGCGGGGGATTTGCTTTTGAGTCGACTCATATGCTGTCAGGTTGCGCTGCTGCAGCCTGGTGGAGAGGAGGAAGGGGAGGAGGGGGATTTGCTTTTGAGTCGACTCATATGCTGTCAGGTTGCGCTGCTGCAGCCTGGTGGAGAGGAGGAAGGGGAGGAGGGGGGTATTGAATGCCAGGCAGAGAGGGGGGAACAGGTAGGGTTGACTTGTGAAGGTGTTTTTATACGAGCATATTGTTGAGTGTGCAGCGACCATGTGGGAGTGCGGCCATGTGGGAGTGCGGCCATGTGGGAGTGCGGCCATGTGGGAGTGCGGCCATGTGGGAGTGCGCCCATGTGGGAGTGCGCCCATGTGGGAGTGCGGCCATGTGGGAGTGCGCCCATGTGGGAGTGCGCCCATGTGGGAGTGCGCCCATGTGGGAGTGCGAGGTGTCCCGAGATTTGAGTCCAAGCGCACACTCGACAAACGAAGGACCAACCCGCGTTTATCCATGGTCAGCGCACCAGCTCAGCAACCCACAACTCACAAGTGAGAGCTCAGCTTTTCAGCAATTCACCATGCCCTTATGGCGGGAGATGAATTCCAACACTCTGATGCGCGGCCGAAAGGCGCTGAGAGAACTCCAAGAACACTCTGCAATGAGCGTCCGTCCATGGTCAGCGCACCAGCTCACAGGTCAGCGCACCAGCTCACAGGTCAGCGCACCAGCTCACAGGTCAGCGCACCAGCTCACATGTCAGCGCACCAGCTCACAGGTCAGCGCACCAGCTCACAGGTCAGCGCACCAGCTCACAGGTCAGCATCTCACCATGCACTTATGGCGGGAGATGAATTCCAACACTCTGATGTGAGGACGGAGGGCGGGCGGAGGAGAAGGGAGAGATGATTAGGGAGAGGGGGACGATGGGGAGAGGGGGAGCAATGAGTCGTGGCTGAACATGAGAGCAAAGAAGGGGCAAGGGGAAAGTTGCAGCGTAAGGGACAATAAGGAACAGCAAGAACAGTGGCAGCAATGTGCGGTGGCGATGAGACAGTTGGAAAAGTTGGTTCGTGCGTGCGAGCGTGCATGCGTGTGTGCGAGCATGCGTGCGAGCGTGCGTGCGTGCGTGCGAGCGTGTGTATGCGCACCAAAGCTGACTTCGTCTCCCCCCAGGTGAATGTGGGAGCTCTTGAACACTGCACGGAGGTCTGGTGGAACAGGGGGACAGGGGAACATGGGAGATGAGAGTTGGAGACAAGGGTTGATAACTGCTTTGCACGCACACACACGCATACACCTTGCAACCCCTCATGTCAGGTACGAATCGATGGGGTTGGAATCGATGGGGTTGGAATCGATGGGGTAGGAATCGATGGGGTTGGAATCGATGGGGTTGGAATCGATGGGGTTGGAATCGATGGGGTTGGAATCGATGGGGTTACACCTTGCAGCCATACCTCATACACACGCATGCACCTTGCCACACCACCTTACACACCTTGCCACACCACCTTACACACCTTGCCACACCACCTTACACACCTTGCCACACCACCTTACACACCTTGCCACACCACCTTACACACCTTGCCACACCACCTTACACACCTTGCCACACCACCTAACACACCTTGCCACACCACCTTACACACGTTGCAACACCCCTTTTATGAGTTGGAAGGTGAAAGGGTTCGAAACAACCCCCTTGCACACACGAACAGACCTTGCCCCACCCGTTGGCGCACACACGCACCTTGCAGCACCCCTTTTATGAGTTGGAAGGTGAAGGGGTTGGACACATCAAGAGGCTCGGGGCAGGCAGCAGCTGGCAGGAGCGTTGGGTAGCCCACTCCCCTGGGGAAGGGGGAAGGGAGGGAGAGAGGGGGATATGGAAAAGGGAAATGGAGAGGAATGAATGGGACCGTGAGTGAGAATCAAAGGCCAGGTGGGAAAGGAATATAGTGGGAGAATCATAAATGATTAGGAATTAGAATGGGATGGACTCAGCACACGTTCTCCGTCAGAGATCTGTAAGGGCTACTTTTGAGGCGCCTCTAAAATCATTCTCTGTCAGAGATCTGTAAGGGCTACTTTTGAGGCGCCTCTAAAATCATTCTCTGTCAGAGATCTGTAAGGGCTACTTTTGAGGCGCCTCTAAAATCATTCTCCGTCAGAGATCTGTAAGGGAACAAAGGAGGAGAGCCAGAGAGGCGACTTTTGAGTGGAGTGAAAGGTTGAATGTTAAGGGAGAAAAGGAGGAGAGCTGACCATGAGGTAGCATGCGCTGGTGAGTCGAGTTCAGGTACCACCATCACCCCCTAATTGGCGTGTTTTGATTCAAATCTAAACACAGCAGGAATATAAGGAGGAGAACTGACCATGAGGCAGCGTGTGCAGGTGAATCGAGTTCAGGTACCACTATCACCCCCCTCTCCTCCGCGTATCTGGCTCAACAAGGTTAGCGCCACGCAGAAACAATGCATAGAGACAGATTAATACAGATGATATGGAATGGGAAAAAGAGGAGGAGGTGGGGAAGGGAGAGAGGGAGGTGGCAAGAGGTGAAGGGAGGAAGGTGAGAGGTGGCACGACCAGTCAGCAGCAGAAGTGGCCCGAGGTGACTGGCAGGCAGGAAATTGCAGCACAGGTGACCCGAGGTGACTGGCAGGCAGGAAATTGCAGCACAGGTGGCCCGAGGTGACTGGCAGGCAGGAAATTGCAGCACAGGTGGCACGAGGTAGCAAACCACGAGAGCAGCGACGAAGGAGAGGTGACTTTTGAGTCGACTCAAAATGACTTATGAGTCGACTCAAAAGGTGACTTTTGACTTTTGAGTCGACTCAAAAGGCAGGCAGGAAATTGCAGCACAGGTGGCACGAGGTGGCAAACCACGAGAGCAGCAACGAAGGAGAGGGCAAAAGAAAAAGGCAAGAAAAGGATGTGTAGAGGGAGAAAGCTAGCAGGTACTGACTGCACGATGTGGCGCATGTCATCAGTGGTGTAGCGCTCAGAGGGAGAGGACTGAATCGAAATAGCACATCAAAGGTGTGCAGGGAAGAGAGAGGAACGGGAGAGAGGGAGGGAGCGGGGTACAGCAGGTACTGACTGCATGATGAGGCGCATGTCATTAGTGGTGTAGCGCTCAGACGGAGAGAAAGGGAAGAGAAGAAGGTGCATGGAAGAGGAGGTAAAGGAAAGAGGGAGGGGAGGGGCAAGAGAGCAGGTACTGACTGCACGATGTGGCGCATGTCATCTGTGGTGTAGCGCTCAGACGGAGAGAAAGCTCCGAGCCAGAGGCGAGGGAAGGAGGGCGTCTCGATGGGGAAGGACTGTGAGTCCACCATGTGCCAGTGGCTGGTGGGGGGTGAGAGGGATTGGGGGAGGTTGGGGAATAGGGGGGAGGAAGACAGGGGAATGAACGGGGGAGTGCATTAATTGCAGGGAGGGTGTCTCGATGGGGAAGGACTGTGTGTCCACCATGTGCCAGTGCCTGGTGGGGGTTGCGCGGGTGAGTGAGGAAGCACAGGCAGGGCGAGGAGGGAATTGAGGGAGTGTGATAGGGCGTCTCGATGGGGAAGGACTGTGTGTCCACCATGTGCCAGTGCCTGGTATGGGGTGCGGGGAGGGCGGGAGGAGGAGAGGTTGGGGGGAAGTGAGCGAGCATGGGGAGGGAAATGAGGGAGTGAGAGATGGGGTCTCGATGGGGAAAGAATGCGAGTCCACCATGAGCCATTGCTTGGTGTGGCAGAGACTGGGGGCGGGAGAAATGGCGGAACCAAATGTAAGAGGGGGGGGCATGCACCCACAGCGTGCACTCATGCCATGCACCCATGGCATGCACCCATGGCATGCACCCATGGCATGCACCCATGGCATGCACCCATGCCATGCACCCATGGCGTGCACCCATGGCATGCACCCATGGCATGCACCCACGGCATGCACCCATGGCATGCACCCACGGCATGCACCCATGGCATGCACCCATGGCATGCACCCATGGCATGCACCCATGGCATGCACCCATGGCATGCACCCATGGCACGCACCCATGGCATGCACCCATGGCGTGCACCCACGGCATGCACCCATGGCGTGCACCCACGGCATGCACCCACGGCATGCACCCACGGCATGCACCCATGGCATGCACCCATGGCATGCACCCATGGCATGCACCCACGGCATGCACCCATGGCATGCACCCACGGCATGCACCCATGGCATGCACCCATGGCATGCACCCATGGCATGCACCCATGGCATGCACCCATGGCATGCACCCATGGCACGCACCCATGGCATGCACCCATGGCGTGCACCCACGGCATGCACCCACGGCATGCACCCACGGCATGCACCCATGGCATGCACCCATGGCATGCACCCATGGCATGCACCCATGGCATGCACCCATGGCATGCACCCATGGCGTGCACCCATTGCATGCACCCATGGCATGCACTCATGGCATGCACCCATGGCGTGCACCCATGGCGTGCACCCATGGCATGCACCCATGGCATGCACCCATGGCATGCACCCATGGCATGCACCCATGGCATGCACCCATGGCATGCACCCATGGCACGCACCCATGGCATGCACCCATGGCACGCACCCATGGCATGCACCCATGGCGTGCACCCACGGCATGCACCCATGGCGTGCACCCATGGCATGCACCCATGGCGTGCACTCATGCCATGCACCCATGGCATGCACCCATGGCATGCACCCATGGCATGCACCCATGGCATGCACTCATGGCATGCACCCATGCCAAGCACGTTGAGGGGGGGTTGCACTCACAGCACGTTGAGCTTGGCATACGCCATGGAGTCAATTACCCTCTCCATCACCGGCACTGGCAGGAAGTGCCTCGCCGTGTCTGGTGGGGTTGATGGTGGGTGTATTGGTGGAATAAGGGGATGGCAGATGCGGATTTCAGGAAGTCTTTGAGAATTCTCAAAAAACACCCTGCAGGATTACAGGGAGCGGCAGGGGGGTCTAGTTTTGAGGCGCCTCAAAACTAGAATTCTCAAAAAACACCCTGCAGGATTACAGGAAGCGGCAGGGGGGGTTGCATACCAACCAGCAATCCTCCATAGGTTGGAACAAAGAGCGAGGTTACTTTTGATTTTACCCAATGGACGAGCACGAATGCAGCACCCCGCCACAGGATGGTGGTGAGTTGGTGACCATGATATGACTTGCCTATGAGCAGCCCGCGGTGCTGGAAGCGGGGGGCATCGCGGATGAGGAGGGGCGAGCCCCGGATGGTGACCGCGCGAGCCACGAAGTCAAACACACAGAGCTGGGAGAGGGTCTGTGGGCACAACACAAGAGGGAATGGCGGGACGCGCACGCGATTTTCTGAGCACTCTCAATCTGAGTCGCTTTTGAGAATTCTCAAGAGCGAATTCTCAAATGCCACCTGCAACGACAAGGTCAAAGGCACAGAGCTGGGCGAGGGTCTGTGCAGCACAAGAGGCAGTTGGGACGGGGGAGTGGGTGATAGAATAGGGCGATAGGTGAAAACGGGAAGGGGATCAAGGGGTGCAATTTAGAACTGGGGGAAAGAGGAGAGAGAGGGGATGGGAGTGAGGGAAGAGGAGGGGAGCTTCTACCGCAAACAAAGGGGCAGGGGGAAGGACAAGAGCTCTATCGGCGCATATCAAAATGCACACATGATTACGAGCGGAGGTGTGATGCCTAGATGATGAAGCGTGGTGAGCAGATGAGGAGCGATACGAATCAGGTGTGCAGGCATGGCCGTTGATGACTTGTGCTAGAGGGCGCAGAGGGCTCACCTCTAGTGCTCGCAATGCTCCAATGGTGGTGCTGGCCTGCAGACCGGCAGACGGAGAGAGGAGTGAGACAGACAGATACGCAGACCGGCAGACGGAGAGAGGAGTGAGACAGACAGATACGCAGACAGGCAGACGGAGAGAGGAGTGAGACAGACAGATACGCAGACAGGCAGACGGAGAGAGGAGTGAGACAGACAGATACGCAGACAGGCAGACGGAGAGAGGAGTGAGACAGACAGATACGCAGACAGGCAGACGGAGAGAGGAGTGAGACAGACAGATACGCAGACAGGCAGACGGAGAGAGGAGTGAGACAGACAGATACGCAGACAGGCAGACGGAGAGAGGAGTGAGACAGACAGATACGCAGACGGAGAGAGGAGTGAGACAGACAGATACGCAGACAGGCAGACGGAGAGAGGAGTGAGACAGACAGATACGCAGACAGGCAGACGGAGAGAGGAGTGAGACAGACAGATACGCAGACAGGCAGACGGAGAGAGGAGTGAGACAGACAGATACGCAGACAGGCAGACGGAGAGAGGAGTGAGACAGACAGATACGCAGACAGGCAGACGGAGAGAGGAGTGAGACAGACAGATACGCAGACAGGCAGACGGAGAGAGGAGTGAGACAGACAGATACGCAGACAGGCAGACGGAGAGAGGAGTGAGACAGACAGATACGCAGACAGGCAGACGGAGAGAGGAGTGAGACAGACAGATACGCAGACAGGCAGACGGAGAGAGGAGTGAGACAGACAGATACGCAGACAGGCAGACGGAGAGAGGAGTGAGACAGACAGATACGCAGACAGGCAGACGGAGAGAGGAGTGAGACAGACAGATACGCAGACCGGCAGACGGAGAGAGGAGTGAGACAGACAGATACGCAGACAGGCAGACGGAGAGAGGAGTGAGACAGACAGATACGCAGACAGGCAGACGGAGAGAGGAGTGAGACAGACAGATACGCAGACAGGCAGACGGAGAGAGGAGTGAGACAGACAGATACGCAGACAGGCAGACGGAGAGAGGAGTGAGACAGACAGATACGCAGACAGGCAGACGGAGAGAGGAGTGAGACAGACAGATACGCAGACAGGCAGACGGAGAGAGGAGTGAGACAGACAGATACGCAGACAGGCAGACGGAGAGAGGAGTGAGACAGACAGATACGCAGACCGGCAGACGGAGAGAGGAGTGAGACAGACAGATACGCAGACAGGCAGACGGAGAGAGGAGTGAGACAGACAGATACGCAGACAGGCAGACGGAGAGAGACAGATGCACGAGTATTCATTAACGGAAGGAGTGAAGGAGGAGAAGGGTTGGCAGCGCGCGTGAGGGGCAGAGCGCTGACCCGAATGGTGGCAGAGCGCGTGAGGGGCAGAGCACTGACCCGAATGGTGGCAGAGCGCGTGAGGGGCAGAGCACTGACCCGAATGGTGGCAGACATGTTGGCAATGGCATGCCCGTGGCGGGTAGCAAGTTGTGGCGGTGCATGTGGGATGGATAGCTCGTAGCTCTCGTCCACTCCCATGTGCAGCTGCACGCATCACCATTCCGTGCCATGCCATGCCATGCAAGGATGGTCATGTCATACAGGTCATGCCATGCATTGATAGTCACAACATACAATGCCATGCCATGCCATGCCATGCCTTGCCATGCGATGTGAGGCAGCGCTCATTCCATCATGCCACACAGAACAGAACGAAGCAAACTACAGCCGAGAAGATAAGCCCATGAATGAGCACTGGGACACAAGCAGTGCACCACTCCTCTCTCTTACCTCCGCCTCGGCGTCCTCCACATGCACTCGCACCCACTCCATCACCGTCACTCCCTCCTCTCCCTCCTCTCCTCTCCTCTCCTCCTCTTCCTTTCCCGCGACTCCCCCACCCTTCAACTCTGTCTCTTCCCCCTCCGTTTCCGCATCCAGTCCCCCTTCCGCCGCGTTTTTCCCCCCCAGACGGCGCCTCTCCGAACCGCCATGGTTCTGCCCGCCGCGTCGCCGCGAATAGTCATGGGCGAAGATGATCCCAAGGTACCGTTCAAACGCGCGTCGCAGCACCTCCGCATTCACCTCCCGCCTTCTCCCGTTTAGCAGGCTCGGCCCTCCACCGAAGCTAATGTCGAGCCTCAGGTTCGGGCTGACTACAACCTCTCCGCTCCCTTCCGCCGCTATTTCCACCGGCATGGGCCACAGGCGCAACCCCACGCCTCCCCTTCCGCTTCCCCCTGCGCCATCACCAGGCGGTTTTCCCCCATGCCTTTGCGCCTTCCTTGCGCGCCTCTGCTCCGCGCGCAGGCGGGGGAGCTGCACTACCCGCTTGTGCCATTTTTCCGAGCTCTTCAGGCTTTCACTAGAAGCACTCTCTTCATCACGAAAACGACTGAAACGAACGAAATCACTTTCATACGAATTCGCGTACGAAGGTAACTCAAATTCGCGCGGTTCCGCGAGTCCACGTGGCTGAGAGTGAGCCACGTCGGACTCTGACGTGTACGAACGCGAGTGGTTCGAAGGCAAGGGAAGGATTTCGAGCTCGAGCAAGAGAAGGAGCAGCGCGGCTGCTAGGGTGAACGACACCCACGCGGTGTGCCGGCGGAAGCGGGAATCGCGGCTCAAGTCTCCCGCGACGTTCGTAAGATGCGCGCGAGAGGACGGGGAGAGGCGGGATGATGGGGACGGGAGGAGCGGAATCTCGTGATTCGACGCCATGGCTCTACCTGCAATTCCAAATAATTTCTCTTGGGATTAGCGGAAGTTGAAAGGTGTGCTTTGGGATTTGCGTCCCCTGTAAAAGCGGTTCTGCTTGAACCGTTTATGCTAGCGAACAGTACTGGCGGTCTGATTGTCAGATGTAAATCGTTTGACACTCAACAAATTGATAATATGACATTATTAGCGGGACGAACTTTGGTTAATAATGCACCAAAACACACTCCAACATCCGATTTGACAAGCGTGTGCTAATGGAAATTCTTTAGCACCCCCTTATCAGTACCACACCACATCAATTTGCAAGCAGAACCACAATAATAAAACCCCAATATAGGTAGAACTTCCAGGGATGTACATCCAATCCAAATCCAGTCCCCGTCCACCTAGCCTCTTACCCACTGCTTGCGAGGAACCAATGGCAACGTGAATTGAACAAGGCACGGCGCTTCAATGTTTGCCTCTTCATTGTTGACGCAAACCTCCCCTCAAGGCTCAAGCCAATTATTGTGGTCATTGAAGTTAGGTCATTCAGATGCAATGCAAGGCTCGTGTGCTCCCATGAATGGAAGGGGGCTCGTCGTGTGCCCACAAGCATGGATGGAAGGGGGCTTGTGTCGTGTGCTGACATAAATGGAAGGAAGGGGGCTCGTGTCGTGTGCCCACATGCTTGGAAGGAAGGCCGGTTGGTTCGGTTCAGGCATAGAGAAAAAGACTGAAACAGCACTGTTTGGATCTGGCTGGGGGCAAAAGTTTTGGTTTCGAGGATAGGAACTGCAGATGGCTTGATTTGTGCATGAAGAAGTGACTAATGCCAATGCAGCACTTATTTGAACTAGTTGTTGGAGAACTGGGACATTTCTGGCTAAAAAAGGCTTGTAGTTATCCAGTGGGTTTGGTCAAAAAAGGGATGTGAAGTAAATTCAAAAGTCGACTAAAAAGTCGCTGAAATGGCCAAAAGCGAATGACTGATGCCAGATATGCTTGGTGAGCTTTCAGTCGGGGGTTCAACTCATGAAGGGCTTAGGTTCAATCAAAGCAGCAAAGAGGGAAAACAGCACAAGGCTCGTTCAGAAAGCGTAAAGCTCGGAGGGAGTAACCGCCCGAGCCACCACAAAGGTTCACCTGTGCTGGCACAGGAGATTCTATCTAGGGGTCAGATCTTCGGCTGAGTCTCATCGTAATGTGCTAGTTTCTAGGGCATGGGTGTTGGGACCCAAGTCCCTGGCCCTGCTATGCCCCTAAATCCTGGGTCGGGCTTGAGCGGGAAAGTCATGGGTGTGAGAGGCTGTGTCAGCGACAAGGCTCTGTTGCTGCTGCATAGTGGGGCATAGCGGATTGATCAGGGTAAATCAGGCATGGGCATGGGCATGGCATGGGCATGGGGGATTGATGAGGAAAAAACAGGTATGGTGGAGAGATAAGGGCAAAGCACGTACGGGTACTGGCACGGGAGTGGGATGGGATGTTTGATGAGAGACACTGGGTTTAGTGAATGGGCCATCGACAAACAGAAGCTGTCTGCAGGGTGACAAGGCGGATGGAAGATGGGTGGCACGGTGCGAGTTCAACGCAGGCTTGGTGTGGTGGGGAACACAGCTAGAGGCAAGAGGCAAGGCGTAAGACATGTGGTGTGAAATATGGGATATGGGGTGTGGGGCACGAGGCATCGGGCATAGGGTATGGGGAATGGGGCATGGGGCATGGGGCAGTGGGTATGGGGCAAGGGGGAATGGGGCGTAGGGTATGGGGTATGGGGCATGGGAGATGGAAGATTACACCAGGTGGTGGGATGTCATGGAGCCCACATGCATGCCATGAGCCCACATGCATGCCATGAGCTCACGTGAATGCCATGGCCCCATACAGCACATGAACCCATCGCATCCGCACTTACCACGAGTGCCGCCACCTCGCTTGCATCAATAAGCATCACGCCTCTCCGCGTGCCTCTCAGCAGCGGCGGTGCCTTTGATGACAAAAGCATGGATGATGGCCTGAGCCGCCTGCACCTGGTCCGCCGACCCCACCACCTCCACCACCCGCTCGCTCTCGCCCTCCCTCCCCTCGTACATGCGCACGCGCGCCCCTGAGATCTGATGGGGTGAAGCATGTGGGGAAAGAAGTGAAGGTGGGGCCAGAAGGGAGGGGAGTGGTCAGCTATGGTGTTGGTTGGGTGTCATGCTCGCTATTCCCTTCCTGCCCCTTGTACATGCGCACTCGCGCCCCTGAGATCCGCACAGGTGAGAGGGAGAGGGAGGGATGGGGGGGAAGAACGAATACGCTCTCTCGATATCTATCTAGTAACCTGATGTAACTTCTGCCCAAATACCTCCGAATACTATCAATCGAGCCTGTGTTTCCATCCACTCTCCCTCCTCAGTACATGCCTCCAACTGCATACCCCCACACCACACCCCCCTTTCCCCCATCGTACACCCCTGAATCCAACCCCCATCTTCCTCCCCCTTCTACCCCCTCCCTGTCATACGCTTTTAATCTGCTGGATGTTGGCTCCCCCTTTACCGATAACCGCCCCTGCCGCCACAGCCGGCACTGACACCAGCGCTGTCATCACTCCCCCCCTTGCCCCTCCTCCCCCACCCCCCCTGTACGTACGCTTTTGATCTGCTGGATGTTGGCTCCCCCTTTGCCGATAACCGCTCCTGCTGCCACAGCAGGTACTGTCACCAGCGCTGTCATCACTCCTCCTCCTGCCGCTCCCCCTGACCCACCAGCAGCACCAGCACTGGCACTGCCGCCACCAGTAGTACCACCAGCACTGGCAGCAGCAGCAGTGTGAGTGGGAGGAGGCGAGGAGAAGTGGGCAGACGCGGGTGCAGAGGCATGTGAGTAGCTGCATGCAGAGAACAGGGGAGGGGGGTGTGGAGGGGGAGGGGGAGGGGAGGAGGGGTGGGACGGAAGAGGAATCAGGAGGGTGCAGAGGCATGAGAGTAGCCGCATACAAAGAACAAGCAAGGGTGACGAGGAGTGGGAAAAGGGAAAGAGAATCAGACAGGGGATGAGGAGGGGGGTGGAAGGGGAAATGGAAGGTAATTCAGTAGGGGATGATGAGGATGATGGCAGGGGGATGGGAGGGAAACAAAAGAAGGATAAAGCAGGGGTTTGAAAGGCAGATGGAGGGGGGATGGGAGGGAAACAAAAGAAGGATAAAGCAGGGGTTTGAAAGGCAGATGGAGGGGGGATGGGAGGGAAACAAAAACGGGGATGATGAGAAGCTTGGGAGGAAGATGGGAGGTAAAGAAAAAAAGGGATGCACGCGGCATGGATTGCAGTGGGGGATGCAGAATGCAATTCTCAACTCAATCGTAAGACGCACCTGCCATACTCTTGCACTGCTGCCGGTGCCACATCCCAGCCAGAGCCCCTGTGTGACGAGAGTGGTACAAGGACACCAGAAGCGCGAGGGGGAAAAGAGAGGCTAGAAACGGGTACGGCATAACTCGGAAGCAGAGAAGTCTGCAATGAGGAGAGGCGTTATATAGGGGCAGGTGTTACCTGGGAGCAGGTGTTACCTGGGAGCAGGTGTTACCTGGGGGCAGGTGTTACCTGGGGGCAGGTGTTACCTGGGAGCAGGTGTTACCTGGGGGCAGGTGTTACCTGGGGGCAGGTGTTACCTGGGGGCAGGTGTTACCTGGGAACAGAGTAGCCAGAGTCATGGTAGGACGGTTCCACCTTTGGCTGCTCAGAGGGGTGTGCAGGGGAGAGGAGAGGGGGGTGAGGGAGAGAATGCAGGAGGAAGCGAGGGAGGGAGGGAGGGAGGGAGGGAGGGAGGGAGGGAGGGAGGGAGGGAGGGAGGGAGGGAGGGAGGGAGGGAGGGAGGGAGGGGGAGAAGGCACAGGAGTGGAGGGTCAGGTGGATGGAGTGAAGAGCTGGCTGAATATTGAAGGAGACAGGGAATTCAAAAGCACACACACTCTCCGCCTTTGATTCTCTGACTCTCACCTCCCAAATGCAAGCATCACCGCACGACAACAATGCACCGTTTCTCACCACAACACACCGCATCTCACCGCCATGCACCTCACCTCGTACGACCACCCAACAGAGCCATCAGGGCCCCCAGCAGACAGAGTGGCCACCACTGCTGGCGCCGCTGCTGCTGCTGGTGCTGTTGAATACCCATACGCCCCCTCCCCTCGACTGTTCGACCCAGGATACCCATACCCCCCTCCCCCTCCCCTCCCTGTCTCCGCATAACCACCCCCACCAGCCCCACCAGCACGAGCACCAGCAGCAGCAGCACCACCACCACGAGCATCGGCAGCAGCAGCGCCTTTAGAGGCAACGGCGGTTTCCCTGCCTCGGATGCGCGCACAGATGAGGCGCAGCGCGTGTGACACACAGTGTGGCTCGCCTGATACCTGGTGAAAGAAGACGGGGGGGGGGGGGAGGGAGAAGAAGACATGGAAACACACAGTGGGGCGAGTGACACATAAGGCGCCTGATGCCTGGTTAAAGGGGATCGGGAGAGGGGAGCAGGAGGAGTGAGAATGTGGGGGAAGAAATGCAGGCCAGAGGGATGGAGACAACGACAGTAGCTAATGCAGCAGCAGCAGCAGTACCCACCATCCACCATCCACCACCCACCAATCAACACTCAAGACCCACCCATCACCACTCACCACGAGCACTTCATCGCTCTCATCGGCGCATTTAGGCAGCTGGTCCTTTGTTGGAATGTTGATGCGCGCCCTGCTCGTGCTGCCCTTCTACTAACCACCCTCCCCACCCCCCGCCCCGCCACCACTTACACCCACCACCCACACATCACCACCCCCCACCACTTACACCCACCACTCACCACGAGCACTTCATCGCTCTCATCGGCGCATTTAGGCAGCTGGTCCCTGGGGGGGATGTTGATGCGCGCCCTGCTCGTGCTGCCCTTTTACCCACCACCACCACTCACCATCCCCCACCACTTACAACCACCACTGACCACGAGCACTTCATCGCTCTCATCGGCGCATTTGGGCAGCTGATCCCTGGGGGGGATGTTGATGCGCGCCCTGCTGGTGCTCCTGAGCTCGCTGATGATGCTGCCGCCCTTGCCCATCACACACCCCACCTGGCGAGGCCACAAGTGGAGAGAGGAAGTGGCGAAGGGAGAAGCGACGAGGGGAGAGGAGAGAGGAAGGCACATGGCATGGCGAGGAGGGGGAAGGCGGGGTCAGGAATCGATCCCTGCTGGTGCTGCACGGCTCCTTGAAAATGCTGCCGCCCTTGCCCATCACACACTCCACCTGGCATGGCAAGGCAACAAAGGGTGAGTAGTAGGCACTTGGCAAAGGGGCTGCTTCGAAAGAGCCAGACGGTGATTGCTGCTTGAACTGGTTACTGATTGCTGAAGATCAGGCAATCGCTTTCATTCCTCTCCCCTCACTCACCTGCCCCTTCCTAACGAGCAGCCGCGCAGTCACCCCGTGGCTGTCTCTCCCGCTCTCCTCTGCTGTGCCTGCTGCCCTGTCGCCCACATGGTGCTGTGAGATGGCTGCATGCACGCGGAACAGCGCCTCCTCTGTGGGCGAGTGGCCGGAGAATGGCGCCTGGGGGGAGAAAAGGGGGGGGTGGAGGAGGGAGAGGGGGGGTGAGGAGGGAGAGAGGGGGGGTTGGAGAGGGTGAGAGAGTGAGATGGCTGCATGCACGCGGAACAGCGCCTCCTCCGTGGGAGAGTGGCCGGAGAATGGCGCCTGGAAGGTGAAACAGCAGGGGAGGAAAGCGGGGAGAGAAGAGAGCATGAGAGAGACAAAGAGAGGGGGAAGGAGGGAGGGGGGGAGTGAGGAAAGGGCGAGATGATGATGGGAGAAGAGAGGGGATGCAAGACGTCTGGCAAACAATGAACAGAAGTGACCAATGTTTCCAGAGTTCAAAATGAAACCAGAGAGTACATGCGGAACCGCAAACCCTAACTTGTATAGCAAAACTCCAAACTCTAATATCCTGTCGCCTCCATAGCATCAATGACAGAAAATGTGCTCTGAGAGAATGCTGAAACGAGCAACCAATCAACGAGTAAACGAGTCAACTAGTCAACGAGTCACGAGTCAACTAGTCAACTAGTCAACGAGTCAATCAACGATTCAACTAGTCAACGAGTCAATCAACGAGTCAACTAGTCAACAAGTCAACGAGTCAATCAACGGGTCAACGAGTGTACTAGTCAACGAGCCAACAAGCGAGTCGAGTGGTCACCTCCATGGCATCAATGATCACGATGCGCTCATCGCAGTCCGCCACGGCCTCTGTCACCTTCACTCGCGCACCCGTCTCCTCCTTTATCTGCCGCGCACGCCACCAGTGCAAGCAAGCAACCCACCCAAGCATTGCAGCCCGTGCAACCATGCAACCCGTGCCAGCAATGCAAGCAGTGCACCCAGGCAAGCAAACGCATCGATGCAAACAGAGGGTCGTGAGGTGCGGAGAGGAAAGAAAGGCTTTTGAGTCGACATAAGAGAGGAAAGAAAGGCTTTTGAGTCGACTCAAGAGAGGAAAGAAAGGCCCACGAAAGCCATGTTGGACCCTAACATCCGCATTCACGTTCACACCTGCTTTGCTATGATCACACCTTCGATCCAGTCATGCCCACGTGCTTCTTGATCCGTGAACTCCCCTTGCAAATCACAATCCCACTCTATCCGCGAGGCACTGCACACACCACCCTCAATCCCATCTCCACCGCTGCGCCCTCCCCGCACCTCCCTGCACCCTCCTTCACTCTCTCATGCACCCCCCCCACCTCACATTCCTAGGCGCGAACTCCTCAAAAAACGATTCCAGCACACACACCTGCTTAATTCGCGACCCGCCCTTGCCAATCACAATCCCCACTCTATCCGCGGGGCACAGCACCCGCAGCTCCATCTCCACCGCCGCCCCCTCCCCCGCCCCTCCCCCTCCCCTCCCCCCGCCCCCCATCCCCCCATAACCGTGCGCTCCCCCTGCTGCTGCGCCCGCGCCCGCGCCCCACGCTCCAGCAAAGGGGGACGAGGCCAGTGCGTAGACTTGAGGGGGAGCGTAGGTGGAGTAGCCTTGTGGGGGAAAGGCCGTAGCTGGGGCGGAGCGAGAGGGGTACGAATCAGCCCCCCGATGGTAACCCGACGCCTGGTAACCAGGCGCCGGCTGGTAACCAGCAGGCTGGTGGTAACCAGACGTGGGGTGCATGGCGAGGAAGTTGGGCGGGTCGCGAGGAGGCGAGCGACGGAGGCGAATAGAGATGAGCTCTAGGGCCTTCTGGACCACAGGATACTCGCCTGTCACCTGCCACGTGGCAACACGGGATTGGACAGGGATTGGGACGAGAAATGCGACAAGGTGTGGACGCGGATCAGGCCCTTACAGCACGGGCATCTTTGGGACAGCTGGTATCTACAAGCTGGTTCGTGAGAATTCTCAAAGACCAGCGCGGAACAAACCCGTACAGCACGGGCATCTTTGGGACATCTGGTATCTATTTTAAAGTCGACTCAAATTTCGACAGCTGGTAATTACAAGCTGGTTCGTGAGAATTCTCAAAGACCAGCGCGGATCAGACCCTTACAGAGCATGGGCATTTTTGGGGCATCTGGTATCTACAGCCGTGCCAACCGCGCACCTGCGCTAACTCGAGAATGTAGGCGCCTCTAAGACCGCGTACCTGCACCAACTCGTCCGTGGGCAGCGCGCAGGGCGGCAGTTTGTCCTTATTGAAGATTCTGATGTGCGCGCCGCTGTCCTGCCGCATGCCCGCGATGATCGAACCGCCCTTCCCCAGAAGACACCCGATCTGACTGCTCGGCACGAGCAGCCTCGCCGGGGTCCCTCCGCTATTGGCACCTCCGTTATTAGCACCACCCTCTGCCCCATCCTTGTCGCGAAACTCGCGATTGTCGCCATCCGCGTCGGCGATCCTCGCATGCACGCGAATCAGGGCTTCCTGTGCGACGGACCAGTCGTCCGGGCGATCCACAGCCGCGTCGCCGTCGATCGCAGGGTCGCCGCTGCGAAAGTTCTTGTCGCTACGAGCGGAGATGATTATAACGCGTTCGTCCGTGCCGGGGATGGGATCCGCGAGCTTCAGGCGCGCCCCGGTGGATTCGCGAATGCTCTGAATGATCACGCCGTGCTTCCCGAGGAGCGATCCGATCCGCGACTGGCGGATGGGGAACCAATGGGGTTCAAAGACCAACGGGGATGGGCAAAGAATGGAACGAAATGTGATGTGGCGGGAAGAATGGATTTGCGGAATGAAGTATTTGCCAAAACGATGTGGGTGCGGAAAGAACGGGACTACGCGTGTGAATGACTCCAAGAGCCTGACGTGAGCCCCCATCGAGTCGCGAATAATCGGAATGAACGCGCGGTGAGAATGGATCAGTTGAGAAACGATTTGGAGTGAACTACAATTGCAGGTGGAGTGCTCCTGGTGGGAAACAGGAGAATATCTGAATGTGGGGCGAAAATGCAGATTATTATTTGGCGGACACGATCACTTTACGCTGTGACCCTAACGAATGACTCCGCGGTCGTGCCTCTACCGCCGCGCCTCTAAATTCGTGCCTCTATCGTCGTGCCTCTAATGTCGTGCATCTAACGGCGTGCCTGGGGGCAGAGGATGCGGAAGATGACGTCCGCGTCGCTCCGCTCGTCCCGCTCCCGCCGCTTCTCTCGGCCGTTCTCGTGGTCGTAGTCGCCGGCGCGCTTAGACATGCTGACTGATTGCAGTGATTTAGAGACCTGGGGAACGAATCACCTGACAGAACTAGTTGCAATAACAAGCTGAGTGGCCTGCAGACTAATGGGTTGACCAGAACCAGAAGGTCCGATAAGGACGCTGAACCCAGGTAATGCATGCTTCAATATAGCGCCAACTGAGAGAATGTATTGTGACAAACTACAATGAGGTTACATAAGCAAGCACCTATTCCATTAAAATAGGCGCAGCCATCAGATAATCCACCGATATCCGTGGGTCCGCCATATACGCGGCCTCTAAGAAGATATCGCCGCACTCAAACTAGAATGAGGTTGCATAAGAAAACACGTACTCCTTTTTAGAAGGGGTTCACTTGAAACACATCCCAGCAAAAACTAAGGCTCATTACGCTATGACTTTGAAAGCACATCTTTCTCAACTAGGGCTTTCATTCTTTCAACATTACAGACCAGAGACTCTATTTTAGGCACACCAAAAGTGTGAGAGCTGTTACAGTCTGTCTGAAAACAATGTGAAGAAAACGGATTGCTCATTAACAAAGACTCACGATAGTGAAGCACTGTCGACCACAGAAAATGGCCAATGCTTGTTTCACTTCCATCTCATGTCCATTGCAGGACACCGAGGCAAGTAAACTTCGCCGGATCTTTCCAAGAATCTTTTCGTCCCCCATTTTTGCGTAGCAAATAAATGCGGATTCTAAATTCGAGGACATTCCCACTGGATCTCGTCGAACCTACATGCGAGTGATTGATCTCCGCTTGTCGCTCAAGATGGGCTGTGCTGCACAGTGAATAAACCGAAAGCAGGGAGTGCTTGTGTACATCGTGAGCCCTTCCCAGCTCAACTCTTCCACTCTTCTTCTGGAGGACCCCTATATATTAGGGTGGTTCACAAGGTGTAGCTCATATATTCCGAGGTGCAGAGAGAAAACTTCGGGCGTTACGAGCGTCCAATTCCGAGTCAGCAGCGCCAGACCTGAGCTCTCTGACACGAGCCCGAATGACCCCGATTACAGTATGGAACGGAAAAATGTCCCGGCAATCACAGCCATGATTGCTCGGAATGAAAAAACGTCCTCTCCGCCCCTTCGTCACTGTTCATCACGTGCTCACAGCCCAACTGGTCCACTCCCCACCTCCCTGTGCTCTCCCTATGCTCCCTCTCTGTGTCAGTTATCCATCCCATCCATTCCATACCTCCTAGCGTCTGAGGAGTGCTCCCAAGGTTTGGACAAGTGTGAGTCTGCCCACGCGGCTCGTAATTTTCCGATGTTTGTAGAAAAAAAGAATGGTTGTGACTCCAGGTCTGGACACCATGTCCAAGCAATCTGGGTCGTAAGATCCGTAAAGGTTACCCAATCGAACGTCTGACGATAACATCCGCGAACCACGGTGTGAAGTGGAGTCGAAGGGCAGGGTAACGAATCACTATTGGGGCGAAAGCGTTTCAAAAATCAAAGTCAACTCTCTTCCCGTACAGAAACCGAAGTCAAATCCACGCTCGAACAAACAGAACTACTTGGGAAAATACACCTGAAATTTAATGCTGGAACTCGCTACGGTTGGCGAAACTTCGTTTTGCTGTGTAATTGGAGGCGAGATTGAAGCCGAATTTGCCATTTTGAGCATAGAACACCGCGGTGTCCAAAGTGGGGAAGTACCCCACCATGGACACCATCCTGCCGAATTATTAACCGCGTGGGCAGACTCACGTCTTGTCCAAACCGTGGAAACGCCATCCGAGTCCGCCAAACCCACAATTCCAGTCTCTCGAGGCCATTGCGCATTCCACCACAACCACTCCCAGTCCACTGGCACTCAGACAATTGCGTGCCCCTTATCCTGGATGCTAGATTACAAAAATCGCAACATGGAAAAGGAAAGTGACACGCAGCTCAACTTCACGATGGGACGCGGGTTTTGATCAAGGCACGTGATCGAGAACGAGCATTAATTCCCTTCCTATTTTTCCGACGCATAGATATATTTGCTTCGAATTCCGCTTTCCCAATATAGCATTCCCTCGTCAACCTTCTCAATCGAATAAGCCGCTCTCAACGTTGCTCACCGTGGCTAATCCTCTCACCTCAAATATCAGCTCAGTGACCTTGTCTGCATTGCACTGCGATTGCTTCAAGACATGGCTTCCATCAGCGCCTTAGCTGCGCGGCAATTTTCCTTCAAAACCTGCACAGCCGTAACATCGTCCACAGAGAACGAACCCGTCTTAGTAATGCTCCCCGACGGCTCCGTTCGTTTGTTCGATGACTCGTCGACCCAATCTGGCGAGCATCTAACGGCTCAGACCGTCCTCTCCGAATACCCTAACATGCACCTCACATCGGTCGTATCCGTCGTGTCCCCAACCGCTCCTCTCGTGCCGGGCGAAACTTATTTCCTCACGCCGAAGCGTGCTGCCCAGCAGACCACCATCCGCCCGCCTCCTCGCCGCTGCTCTGCTCGCGACGAATCGCCGATTCTTCCGCCGTCGCGACGAAGCGGCCTCCGAGCTGGCGCAGCCTCGAGTGACGGAGCCTCGAGTGACGGGATCCCGCTGGTGCTCAACGAGCATCGAGATGTACATGCGGCGACGGTCGAAACTGTTAAAAGGATCTCGTCGCCCGGATGCAGCAATGCGCGAAGCGAACTTGAAGCAAGGATCGCCGAGTCGGAATTCAATTTCCCTGCGCCGACATGCATGGGTAACAGACGCCGCAGCTTTTGTTCGAACCAGGGTGGACAAGGAGAGAACGCGCAGGAGGATTTGATAGAAGAGCCTGGATTTTTCAAATCGAAGACCTACAGTGGAAGCCATACTCTGAAAAACAGTACTAGCCCCGTAAAGGCAATATTTGAAAGGCGTCAAATCCAGCTGTCGCCGCTCCGTGGCGAGATTTGCCGAAGCAATGTGTCGTCCAACGATCCGTCGCCAGCTTCGTCCGTGTCCAGTGTTACCGGCGAGCGAAGCGAAACCAAGCCTCCTCGCGCCCCATCGCCTCTCGCGAGCCGAAATCCCATCCTCGCTGAGGTAAGCTCCATTTCCAACATTTCTATATCGATTCACACCAGCTCCTTCACAATCGCATTTCCCTATCCTCAGGTCTAACGTTCTTGATTCCTCTTTTCCCTTTGCAGATCGCGGCACTTGACGAAAAATGCTACCATATCGCGGACGTCCAGGCCAGCGCAGCGGTTGTGGCCACGATCGCCACCGCTTCTCGGCCTTGTTCCTCCGAAGGCTCATCCCTTAAATCTCAAGTCCTTTCGACGCTCGCGCAAATCACGCCCCGCAGCCTACGCCGCCTCTCTTCCTCCGGCGCGAAGAAGCTTCAGTCCGCATCTTCCGCCGCCAGTGGTGACGCAAAGGCGGCGATGATGCACAGTGCGTCCGAGTCAGCACAGGACTGGGCTGATGCGGACAGCAGGCTGTTCATGATGACGGACACACGGATTCGCCATCGGCTGCCCACGAACGTCGCCAGCGGCGTGGGTGTAGAGTTCGGGCAGCAGGGCGCCGCACGGGGGATCACTTGGGCTGATACAGGGTGCGACCAGAACGGCAGTCGCACAGCTGCTGTGCGACCGGGTGCTAAAGTCGCTGCTTCTGACCGATTTCAGCGCTCTCCGTCGTTCACTACGTCGTTTACGACCGAATGGGACGTTCCTTTGTCGTCCAGCATTTGCCGTAGCTGCCACGGCATGAGCAACTGCTGCTCTTGCGAAGTTCAGTGCTCCGCGTCCACGCATTGCGACGCGCCGCAGCCGTCGCAGGGCCCTCGGCGATACAGCCTGTCATCGGCACAGAGGATAGGGATGGAGCAATGCGACGCTGCATTGGCCGCCAGGAGGAAAAGCGTAGATAATGACGACGGCTACATTATGCCTCCCAGGAGCCAGAGGTTTCTGTCTGGGCCCCTGGCACTGCGTGCCATCTTCTAGGGTTTCGCCCCTCGAGACTGCAACTTTTGAGAAAAAAATCGACTGATTACCTCACTGTTGGGAAAAAAAAAAAAAAAAAAAAAAAAAACTCGACTTTGAGAAAGCCTGCATCCAAAACGATATGCAGCGGCGATTTGGGCTTTGCTAAGGGAGGTTGTGTTTTTGGTGGTGTGTGGTTCCTAATTTTCCCTGTTCCCAGTTTTGAGAGTGCTGGTTGCTTCCTGTTTGCTGAGCAAACTGTAATTACTGCCAATTGTTGTACCATACAAGAAAGTGTTGAATCTCCTACCTTACAACAGTCCTGTTTAACTCATAACAACCAGTGCGAGCATTCATCGTGGAAATCATCAGGTTTTTTTGGATACTCCCCCACACAGTTTTATAATGATTTTCTATGTTCTTGAATGGGTCTTTTTCCCAGATTGTAATTTTTAATACATATAGAGAAGTACTTGAGAGAAATTTGCCCTTCAAGCTAAAAAATTGTCAACAAAAACCTGAAACCAAATGTAGTCAGCTTTTCTTATCAGTGTATGCATGTCTCCTCACAAGTAACGAGCTTCCTTGTGAAGCACAGTGTGGGGACCTTGAAGATGAGCTGTACATGTGGGCGAATGAAAAGTGAAATATGCCTTCCGAGCTCCTTCTTTCTGCACTCTGGGATTGATCGAAATG